TTATTGATATTTTTGGGAATCGCATTTCAGTATGCACGAGAGTTGAGCAAGAAATCACTACCTGTGATTTTTTCACAGTGATTAATAAATCGCAAACACAAACTGTTACGAACGTAAAAATAAACAGTGATTTAAAACGTGATATTAAAGAGCCACTAATATTTTCGCTGCTATTGCGAGTTGCTTGTGATGGTGTTGCGTGTGGTGAGTTGATTGGTTGCACATGTGGCCCGGCGGAAGAACGAAGCCAAATAAAATTCGTTTGTTCGCTACTGAAAGCTTGCATTCACGGGTTCCCTCGAGGCTGGATTTTATTGATATTTTTGGGAATCGTATTTCAGTATGCACTAGAGTTGAGCAAGAAATCACTACCTGTGATTTTTTCACAGTGATTAATAAATCACAATCACAATCTGTGACGAACGTAAAAATAAACAGTGATTTAAAACGTGATATTAAAAAGCCACTAATATTTTCGCTGCTATTGCGAGTTGCTTGTGGTGATCATATGTTGCACATGTGGCCCGGCGGAAGAACGAAGCCAAATAAAATTATTTTGTTCGCTAATGAAAGCTTGCATTCACGGGGTCCCTCGAGCCTGGATTTTATTGATATTTTTGGGAATCGCATTTCATTATGCACAAGAGTTGAGCAAGAAATCACTACCTGTGATTTTTTCACAGTGATTAATAAATCGCAATCACAATCTGTGACGAACGTAAAAATAAACAGTGATTTAAAACGTGATGGTCCCAAACGTGATATTAAAGAGCCTTATATTGCTCATATTTGCACTGCTAACGCTACTATTGCGAGTTGCGTGTGGTAATCATATGTTGCATATTTTAATTTTTTTCCAGAATGTTTTTCGTACTTTTAGGAGACATGGGTTTACAAACTGTGTAGCCAGTTGCGATTGCAGAGGCTGTTATTTTTTAGTGTCCTTAAAATCATTTGTACTCTACTTGTGTATTTGTTGTATACCTAAATAAGGTTATTTATTTAAAAAATGTGAGTTATAAATGATTTAAGTGTAAGTGACGCACAATTGCCCATCACCTTATGATGCTGCTATATCACGAAACCGGCGACCACAAGTGAAATCACATTCAAAGGTTAAATTCACAGTTAAAAAAAACACATTCACAGTTATAACAGTGATTTTAAAATCACGTTTTAGCTCATCTCTAGAAACTGTTAGAACTTACCTAAGGACCAATTTTTTGAAACGAAAACCGGAACCACTTTTCCGGGAACATGAATGTTAAAGTAGACCTTATCCAGCACGGGAATGGTCTTCAAACCAGTCGCTTTATTTTTAATTTTCATCAACTGGACCTTGTCGGCCAACTCTTTACTTTTCGGTTTCTTCCGGCCTTCCGCCAGCCTCCTTTGAATCTTAGAAAAGCAAAAAAGTCAGCTTGAGTAATCCAGTACCTACACTGCATTGTATTGTCCTACCTGCTGATCAACCAAGGTTTTCGCTTGTTCAAACTGCCTAGCAGGTTGCAAGAACTTGTCCTTCTCCAACTGAAGTTCTTCCTGGGTCTTATCCTGACAAGTGGTTAAATGCCTATGTTTGATACAAAAATGTTTCGCGCACCTACAAAAAGATAAGCGCTTCTATCTACCCATTCTTGGCTATTTAAATGTAAAACCTGGGACAGATCATAGGCACAATGCTGTGGTCCTTGCAGCCGTCTTGTGAACACACTAAAACGTTATCAAAACATTTCAGTTCGTCTTCAGTTAACATTCTTGATTTTGAGCAGGTTTGGCTGTGGCTTTGCAGGTGCTGTGAGCAAAATACTTTTCCACATTGACAACGCAAGGGCAGAAAGTCTAGTTGAAGACACTCATTAACCGTGCAACGTTCTCCAAGCCCTGGCAACTCCATGGTGAATTGGGGATGTTTGCGGTATCTACTAGAACCCAATTTGGTCAGAGTATACAGTAGCTTTACGCTATACCAGGCTGCCTTACCTGTTACTGATGCTCACTGAGCGCACTCAACATAATATCACCCCACTTTTGCTCTTGTTCTTTAAGTGTTAAATGGACGTCGCCTGAATCAGCTTCGGGATCAGCCAACTCATGCAAAGGGACCTCGATGTCCTCGTCTGGGAGTTTGTCGTAGCGCCAAGCGTCGTCTGTTAAATCTATAAAGCGTCCGTCGATTTGTACTTCACTGTCGGACATAATCTGCAATTAAATACCGTTGGAATCGGAGAGAAAATGTTTGTTCGTTCATATTAAGGGGCATGCACAACCATACACACAGGATCCGTCGAAAATGTTAACTTACCGAAGACCATTAAATCGTGAACAAATTGGAGATTAAAACCGAGCAAAAGACTATAAAGTTGCAATCAATCAGCAAAATCAAAACACATCGGAGAAGATGAAACGTTTTTCGCCTAATTATTATTTGCTTTGTTTTGATGATGGGTTATGTAGAGCTTCTCGTCTTTATCTAAGGAAGAGTTTCGTAATCTGTGGATATATTCAGTACATAAATAAAGAAAGACAAGCTTAGGATACTTGTCCTTATTTATGTTCATTCAGGTCATCTTTTATATAATAAATTGCAAATAATAATTATATTTTAATTTCAACTTAATGTGCTTTTATAATTTAAACCGATGTTTGATTTCAAATCCACACAGGAAATTTTACATGCAAGTTTTTGACTGCTTTCGACCTAAGGAATTTCCCGTTTTCAGCTAAACGGTTCGTGCTTTTCAGCGTGAATTATTAAAAACAAATGTTAACTTTGCCTCCCTGTAGGACAACAACGAAGCCCTTTTCAATATGTTTTTAGGATTTTCATCTTAAAATTGTATTTTCTAATGACCGTTAAAGTATTGCTACGATAAACTGACTCACCCTGTATGTCTCAACTCAACTTACAACTTTGCGAACATTCGTTGGTTGACGTTTGGCCAATTAAAATTATGATTGGTTTCCTCGGTTACTGATTAATACTTCAAACAAACCGATTTATTGATTAATCAAAGCAGGACTCAATAACGCAGAAAACTATTTGCTGTCTGCAAAACAATTCAAGTAAAATGGAGTGCGATTTGCTGCTGAAAGAAGACGAATTTTACAAAGAAAACAATATATTAGAGGCGAAAACCAAGGAAATGCTGCAAAAAGTAAACGACGTAATGGTAAGACATTAATTATTAAGGAACATAATCATATACAATAAAGTCCCCTTATAATGAACCCGGTTATAGTGAAGTTTTTTCCTTTAATTGAAACGTCGTCCATAAAGACCAACGTATTTTTTAACTGGTTATAACGAACTTCCGGATATAACGATCCGTTTTTAGGTTAGTTGTATATTCACTTTCCGTTTATAACGAATTTCCACGCTCAGCAACACCAATCGTGCGGAGTTGTTTATATTAGTAAGAGCGAGAGACAGGCAGTGACTTGTTTTTTGCCGCGTTATGTATGTAAATCGTTTTAGAATGGAAAAACAAAAACGCAAAGCTTTTTCACTAAATGAAAAGTACGAGATTATTAACAAAATAAAAAGTGGAGTAAAGCAGAGTGACATTTGTAAGGAATTAGCACTTGGAAAGTCTACTGTTGCAACACTATGGAAAAACAGAGAAAACATTTTATCAGCGTATGACAAAACAAATGTTAGATGTAGGAAGTTAAAATTATCTGCACATGAAAAGGTTGACAAGGTTTACTCAAAAAAGACAAGAAAACGTTCCCATAAGTGGCAGTGTTTTGCAAAAAAATGTTAGTGAAATGGGGAGAAAAATAAAAAAACATAGAGTTTGGAAGATCGTTTCAAGAAGGGGCATAATATCAGTAGCGGAAAAATTGTTGGAGTCTGCCGGTGAAAAATTTTTCCTATGAAAACGTTAGAGGCGAAAAATGAAACATTTTCTATAAATCTCCTAGATGCAGTAAATTTTATTCATAGAGCTTGGCAAAAAGTTAGCCGAAAAACCATTGCAAATTGCTTTAAGCATGG